TCCTACTTCCAAGGTGTTTTGCTTCAAAATCCGATGGGGTCGGGCTTCATCTCTACCACGCTCTCTACGGCGCGTGTCACGTTCCCGCTTTTTTTTTCTTCTTTTTTAATGGACGATAAAAATAGTTTTTATTACTTATTTTGAAAAGAGAAAAAAAATCATTTTTTTACCAACAAGATGACAAGTTGTATTAATTAATGTTGATCTTAAAGCTTTCTATTTTGTAAAATTGAATCTTAAATTTGAAAAGTGTTAGCGATTTTTAGCTTTATTAAGTTTTTACTGATTCACCCCCTTGTTTTAACAAAAATATTAAAAACTCTAGAAACTCGTTCCTTTGAATGGAAATCTGCTTGGCATAGAATTAAGTTTGATTACTTTTAAATAACTCAACACAAACTTACAAATTTTAATTAAAGAAAATAACTAACTCTAATATTTATTTTTTATTTTGCCTAAATCTTAATAATTTTATAACATTTATATGTTTTCTAATTCATTTGACACATATGATAATACATTTTTTAACATTTTTTCAAGCAAAAACTTATTAGAGAGTAAAATTTGCGATGATTTTTTTAAAGCTTTTGGTAAAGATTTTTTTTCCAACCGAGTAGAACACATGTGAGGGTGTATATTTATATGTTTTCTAATTCAAAAGAGTAAAATTTGCAATGTTTTTTAAAGCTTTTGGTAAATATTGTAATGTTCATCTGAGTTCAAGGTACAATTCAGTTAAATTAAAAAATTATGTTAAATATTGATACCTAAAGTTTGGGTAAAGTTGATTTTTTTTTAATTGAATAGAACACATGTGAAGGTGAAGATTTAAATTGTTTAAGTTTAGCGAAAATGTTTATATAATTGGTATTTTTTTTCATAATTTTGGTTTTATTATGAATTTTTAAATAGATGCCCACTAACCCTTGCTTAGTGTCCAATTTTGAGGTGTCTCAAAATCCATGCTCCATATGTTTTCTATGTGTCTTTTATTCATAAACCCCATATGTTCCATTATCCATACACCATGTGTTGAAATCATAATGCCCTATGTGTCTCAATTTTAGACATTATTAGTGTCATGTAAATCACACTACCTGCTTATCCATGGCCTATAAATAAGGTCAATGTGGTGCTCAATTAGTAGAGAGATTTTGTGAGAAATTAGTGGTGAGAATTTGTGAGAAATTAGTGAGAAATTTGGTGGGAAATCAAGTTTGAAAATTGGTGGGAAATGTCATTTTGAATTTTGAATTTTCTTTATTATTTGAATTGTTTTGTTTATTTTATTTCCCCAACGTTGCCTCGTTTCGTTCCTCAATTTTACAACAGGTTTTGATTTTTGTTTTTGTTTTTTAATTTTTAATATTTGCATACTAAAGAGAGATTAAATTGATTTAAAAAAAGTTGAGCTTTTATGTTTCTTTATATTAGTTGCCAAACCATTTCTTTGTACATTTTTTTTATCTTTCTTGAAGTTATATTTGAATTTTTAGTCAAATTTAAAATACAAAACGTTTTTTCAAACTACTCTTTTTTCGGTTTTCATATATTTGAATTGGATTTTGAATATATCTTTATAAAATAGATTTTAAAAATACATATTTATAAGAATAGTCTTTATAACTTAATTGAGAAAAAACAAAATGTCAAAATTGAGTGATAAGAATAAAAAATAGAATTTAAATTCATAAATACACTAGTTTAGGCTGTTTGACCTATGCTATGTTCTCATCAATAAAGAACAATAAATAAGTTGTGACATAAATTTGACTTAATCATCTCATTTTATTAAATAGTACTTTGATAAAAAAAAATGTTATTATGATAGAATTGGGAATATTATCATGGTATTAAAAATATATTATGACTTGTTTGATATGTAGTTTGGACTTTTTTATTTTCAGAATTACTGAATTGAATGGATGAAATTAGATTTGTAATTAAAATAAAAAATTTTATTAAGAGAAATTAAGAGTCTCTTGCAAGTTTATTGTTTACTATTTCTTTTTTTAGTAAATAAAAATATAATTGTATTTAATAACTATTTTTTGTTTTTTATAGGTCAAGAATAATAAAACATTATTCTTATTATTGGATCATAATTTTAACACGACATTTCATTTACTAAATTTCTTAAATGTAAATCTAAAATTTGTATTAAAGGATTTTTATTGTTCATTAAAATTTGTGTTTAAATTTTGTAAATAGAGGCCAAATTGAACCAAAACGAATGTTTCGAGAGTACAATCATTAAAATGAACAATGCATGTTTTAAAGTACAAGGACCACACTAAATCAAATTCAACAAATGTAAGACCAAAATAGTATTTAAATCTTAAAAAATAATTATTTGAAATTTATCTTTAAAAAAATATGGCTGTGGGGAATTAAAGATAAATCATATTTGGTTTTATGCTAAAATGTTGTAAAATTCACATGGTTGTGTTTGTTTCATATGATATGGGTAGATCAAAATTAATTATAAGTAATTAATAATAAAACCTAATCAATAAATTAATACAAATCAGTAATCAATACATTAATTATTATAAGTACTACAATTGACTGATATAAACGAATTGAATCTAATTAGTAATACATTCAAAGTAAAGCAATTTATGTTGTACTAAAAAAAACAAACCAATTCCAAGGAATTTGACACTAATTAATTGTGATTAATTAATTTCTTTAAAATTATGATTTATTAAGTATGATTTTTTTAGTTCAATTATTAAGTATGATAATAAATGGATTCAGTGCAAATTGACTGATTCTTATTAGTATTCCACTGTGATTCAATTATATTTATTTAGTAATTGGACTCTAAGTAATGCGGTTTAATTAATATCACTAAATCAATTATAAATTGTCAATTCCAGATAATTAATTTATGTTAGATATTTTTCTCAAAAAAATAAAATTATGTTAACTAATTAGTCATTCAAGTTAATTAATTGTTTTTTCTTCTAAAAAAATAGTTAATTCGTGTAATTATTTAAAAAATGTTAAATAGGTCTCATTTTTAAGGTCTGGTTTAATAATCATTTTATGTTTAAAAAAGAAACATTTTTCTCCTCATTTTGTTATATAGTTTTTACAAACAATTTCAAAATCTCTGTAAAATTTTGGAAAAAAAAAATTGTTTTTATTTTTGAAATTTGGCCAAAAATTCAAATATGTTTTAAGAAGGAGCAAAAAACTTAATAATAAAATTGTATAAGAATAAACATAACTTTTAAAAATAAAAAATAAAAAACGAAATAGTTATCAAATGACCCCTAAATAAATAAACAAATATCCATTTAATAACGATTTCTGTTTTTTATTTTTAATTTTCTATTTTTAAAAAATAGTTTTCTTATTTCTATTTCTCAAATTTTAATTTTTCGTCTAATTTAAGAAGGGACGTAGAATTTCAAACGCGTTGTTTGACGAGAAATTCAAATAAGAAATAACTCAAATTAATGAACTTGTATTTGTATTTATGTATGTGGGTGTTACAATTTCTAATGTATAATCCTCTGATTAATTAAACTTCAATTCAAGGGCTCGTGAGCTTATTCTTGAATCAATGGTTGATACCTTCAGCTTCTTGTTTGACGAAGGATCTTTGAAGTCTTCGGGTTTAAGCTTGTTTGAAGATTTTGACTTGTTGATGAAGTTTTTCGACTTTAGATTAATAAAAACTTTGTGAAATCTTTGGTTTTGAGCTTATTGAAGAATCTTTGAAGTCTTCGGCTTTGCGCTCATGAAATTCTTCGGTTTTGTGCTGGTGAAGTTCTCTGGCTTTGCAGCTTGCGAAGTTCTTTGGCTTTGCAGCTTGTTGAAGTTCTTCGACTTTACAGTTTGTTGAAGTTCTTCGGCTTTGTAGATTGTGAAGTGCTTCGGCTTTGAAGTTCTTCATTCAATTTGATAAAGACTTTGTAGTTTGATGCAGTCCTCAAGTATTGTTGCCTGAGGAGAGAAGATCCAATATTCTTGAAGTCTCGTACACTTCAAGTCTCGAACTCTTCAAGTCTTGTTGTCTTTGGATGCTTACGATTGTAGACAATTATGAGTACCTTGAATCTTGAATTCTTCTAACTTCTTCTAACTCCTTTTTTCAAATGAGAGGTGATCCCTCTGATATGACATTTAGTAATTAATCGAAATTTTTCATTCAACACGTATTTTTAAAAAACAAAAAACAAAAATTTGAATTTGTTATCAAACTATGCATGAAACAAAATAATTATCAAACAACCACTTAACTATTTGCTTTGATCAAAGTTCAACAAGAAAGTTATACATTGCGCACGACCAAATGAACAATGTGGTTAATTGTTTTACAATGTTGGTATTCATATCTAAATTTTAAATCTACATCCAATAGAAAAAAGTCTCGTCACATTATTTATTTGATTAGAGATAGATGTCAATTACTAATAAACTAATATTAGCCAGATTATGGTATATACATTCAATAATTTATAACTGTTTGGACGTTAATTGCTCATTTGAGTTTTATTTTTCTAGTAAGAGAAAAATAGAGCTTACGAGGAATAAGCTAAGGAGAGCCATCTCCAACCATATGGCTAAACAAAGTTCCATGTTAGTAAAACAAATCCAGATATTAATGTAATCCTTTTAACTTGATAAAATCACCCGAAACAACTACTAAAATGGACATCGGATGGAGAAAATGTGACGAAGAAGACGGTAGCAGGAGTCATGGGGTCACTCGAAATCGAATGGATGCAGTAGACTCGACTGTATCGTGCTTACTACTCCATGAAGCAAGTTTACTAACATATAACCTCATGGGATATGGCATTCATACAAAATTCAGCATAGAACCCAACCAACAAAGTAAAAGAATCATTCACCCTCTTCACCACTTCGCGATCCAAACGTCCAAATAAAACAGAAGAATATACATGTTACCCTTATACCGACGCCTCATCGCAGTGCAATTACTTCTCCAAGCTTACAGTCAACCCTTCAGATGCTCTAGTTATATAACCACAGAACCATAAATTTTAAGGATTTTTGCTGCTTTAGTTTTGTATCAGTAAGATTTGCATTCTAACTATGTAGTTTACAGGCGAGTAATAAGATTTGACACTAGTGTCAGCCTACATCCGCAACCTCCCAGTATGCACCGAGCTTGGCTGCGGTGCAGATTTTTAATGAAAATAGATCCTTTAACCACGCTTTACTGGCCGCTGGACGTATGATTTGTTGGGGTCCTCAGTTTTCAGCTTTGGCGGTCGGGTTTCTCCTTTCTTAGCCTGTAACACAAAGAAGATTAGGGTGATTTTAATCTACATATATACATCAGTACACTTCACAAACTGAGAATACTATCTCACCTTCTTTCCACCCTTCATGAAATCTCTCCAGCTTGAAACCTGAAGATGACATTAGAAAGATGGGAGAGTATAAGTGCAAATAAACTATTTGTTCCGTTCAGAATTTTGAAAAGAATCAGAGGTTTAGAACTCCATGTTCTTGCCAGAAGTTGAAAATTCAGTATGAAGCCAAGCCACCAATTCCTCCACGTGTTTGTCACATTAGGCATTCATTAATCACTCATAAACCAGAAAACTTGAAGGTTAAACCAGGCAATAGAACCAGAAAACTGGAGGAAGAATCATAAGCTTTTCCCTTCTAACCTAGTAATCCCCCATTTTTCATAAAAATAATTTGCGAAAATTCAGAATGTTCATCTTTCCTTCCCTCAAATAGCATACCAACAGGGGAAAATTATATATTCCAAGGACTTACAGAACCAAAAGAACAGCATGCCTAAGAGATCTTGTATTATAATTACTTGATCTAGATTGGAAAGCTGTGATTCTATAGAGCTTTGGGGAGGGTTTGGGTTTCCTCTGCCCTCCGCCTTTAGGTTGTCTCCCTTTTTTGGGACTCTTTATATTTGAATACATCCTTTGTTTTTTATAAAAAAAATAATAATAATTACTCGATCTATTGTATTTAATATTTATCATTATGGAAAAGTAAAAATACTAACCCTCTGTTCTCTTGTTCCTTCCCACTGTTCCTCATGCTCACGCTTTTTCTTCCACATTTCTTTCGTTTCCTCTTCATCCTTTTTCAATCTACCTTCTTCCTCAGAGATCTATTTACAAAAAAAGTAATATAGACAGTGAATAATCCTACCCAAATATAAAAATGTCCAGAGGAATAACATAATATCTAACCCCTGCATACCCTCATCTGCATCTTTCTCCTCCTCCACTCTTGTTCTGTTAATATTTCTCGAACCTTCAATTTGAGCTCTTGCTTGAACTCTTCTGTACTCTCATACTGTTGCTCATATTTCCCCTGTGCCAAATCAAACATGGCATAAAAGGTCACAGGCATCAAAATACAGAACTATGACATATACTCATGAATAATGTGGATAGATCAACTCTTCCTATCATAGCTGCTACCAAATTGCAGTGTGACGTCAAGATATGATTTTTGTACCGATTCAATAATCAGTATTTTATAAGCCAGTTAAACACATTGAAGTTAACAAGTCATTTTGTTTGCACGAAACTACAAAAAAATAAAGACAATATAGAGCATGATTGGGCTATTTTTGTAGACAGGCATGATTAACATGTATGCTCTTGTTTGAGGAAGAATGTTACATTATATTACATGTTTGAGGAAGAGGATTATGTTTTGAACCATAAATGGACTCCATTGATATTGCAAATAGAAGACGATGGTAATAACAGCATATGAAATGAGAAATGAGAAAAAGGAAATTCAGGTCACCTCTTCAACCAATGACTTTATTTTAGAAGCTGTATCTTTCTTCAACTGCTTCTTCCTCTTTGCTAGAAGTTCGTCTGAAGTTCAAAATAAGCACAAGTGAGACATTCTTCCAACTCCATAGAGCACCAAAAAAGAAAATGGGGAAAACAAGTAAATCACTGAATAAAGAATATCTATGGGCCATGAAACCCAGCCCCTCCAGAAATTTGAGGACCTGTTCCAGGTAAAATTGAACCCTTGTTTTTTCCCTTGTAGTTATTAACTTATTAAAGTTTTTTTCTAATTATTTTTTTGGGTTGAAGCTCCTTCCTATAGGTTGGCCTCCTTTTGCTGGGCCTTTTTTGGTATGCCACGTACATTCTTTCTCTGATTTTCTCTTTTTCATTGATATGATAGAATACACAAAAAATGGGAAAACCACAAGGAAGGTGGATAACAAAAAAACCTTCCAGCTCATCAAAAAGATCAAAAGGTCATTTAAGCCGTGATTTGAGAGAGCACAAAAAACATTTACACCAACTTAGTGGGGTGAACGAAACATAATCCTGAATTTGTCATTGAAAGTCTGGTTGTTTCTTTCCTTCCACAGCACCAAAGAAAAGCCCTTATAAACTGAGTCCATAAAACCTCCTTGTTCCTCTTAAAAGGATGCCCCAACAAGAAAGCCTTCAATAGCTTGCTAACACCCATGTACATTCTTTCATTTTCCTCCATGAAAGCTCAGTTTCTTATCCAAAAAACCCTTGTAGTTGGGAGAACCTAGACTCTACATGCATGTGAGGCCAACTTCCTATCTCACACTTAAAAGTATTAACATGTAAGCACAAATGGATATGGATCTCACTGCACCAAATAGCACCTGAGTAAGGTTGCTAAACCAGGCCATTAGGTAAGATATTGTGGTGAATCAAAATCCAGGTTCTTTGACATAGATTAAGTTTAGTGTATCAGAAAAGTATTCCCTGCATATCTGATTTAAACTCTTCAGCCTGAATTTTGTTAGCCCAGTCTAAGATGTAAAATGTTATCCCATGATATAAAGGATAGAAAACTAATCAAAATTGCATTTTATGATATTTATGTAACTAGTTGGCTACGGTAGACTTTGGCCAAAATTCATTTCTCATAAAAACAAAATGTGGGATGGAGATTTGATTCTCCGACCTCAGGGGAAGAAGCAAATACCTTAACTGCTAATCTATGCTCATGTTGGCCACAGAACAAGTACATTTTATGATGATTAAATTATTCATTGCAATTTGCATAATATCTCTATGCTTTATTGGTCTTCCCAAATGAGATTTAGAATTATGATACGTTAATCAGGATCGTTCTGTAGCACAATGCATGGTTTAAAACAAATATGCACAATTTCAATTCCCCTAACTTATATGGTGGCATGAGTCTACTAAAATACAACAATGGTATGATACAGGTAAGCATAAATTTTATTTTCCCTCTTGTTTCTGGTGTGTGAAGCCATCCTTTTCAGTTTTCGCTATCCCTAAAAGAATTAGTTCACTTGCCTTTTGCTGCACTGACTTGGCTAAGAATATAATCTCTTTCCTGCTCATCAAGTAATAGCTGCTGGGCCTTTGCCAATGCTGCTCAGTATCAACAAACTGATTTTAGTTGGATATTACATGCATGGACGGTGTAAAATAAAATCTAAATTACCTTGAATGCTAAACATTAAACTGGACAAAATTGATATCATAAATCAATATACCTCCAAATGCTTCTTTTGCTTGTGGATGCTTACATTTATCAGGGTGAACCAGCAATGATAACTACAAATAATTAGGCATTTTAAAGTGAATTAGACAATTGCCAAAATATAAAAGTAGCATAGCTTGGGAGAAAACTAGACCATATTTCATGCAGAGAAATTACCTTACGATACTGTCTTTTCACCTCATCTGGAGATGCATCAAATGGTAACTTCAGATACTCGAATGGATTCAATTTGAAGCAGGACAAAATCCTATATAGTTTAGTCCCAACAGTTACAAAAGAAAAATAACAACACCATAATTGATAAATTTACAAGCAAGAAAGAAAGTTTTAAATGAAACTTAAACCAGAACTTCAATATAAGATAATCAATGTTGTATCAACAGACAATAAATTTACAAAAAAGTATGCATGTCTAGAGTCATTGCTAGTGTAGATTGATGCAACTCTAAGTTACTTAACACCAGTATAAAAAATCTAAGGGCTCGTTTGTTAACCATTTTAGTTTTTGGTTTTTTTCTTGTTTTTAGTTTTTGGTTTTTTGGTTTTCTGTTTTTAAAAAACAGAAAATCAAAACATGTTTGGTAACTATTTTTTTATAAGAAACGGAATATATTAAAACAAAAGGAGAGAAACAACCTACGGGCAAGGGTTGAGGAGGCCCTCCCCAAAAAAGCTACCACAGTACAGCTTGCCAGTCACGTGAAAATAAAGCTAGAGTGTAATTACAAAAGTATCTCCTATGAGTAAGGCACCACGAGGCCATAGTAATTTGCAGATTTTCACAAAAATTATCACAAGGTATTAGGGAATATGTGAAGATACGTTGATTTCTTTCCTTCCACAGACTCCAAAGACAGGTCCTACCTGCACAGCTCCACAGAACCTTTGGTAACCATTTTTAGTTAGAAAAAATCAGATTTTGAAAAACAAAAACCTGTTTTTGAAAACAACTTCTTTTTTTATTTTGAAATTTACACATAATTTCAAAATGGTTTTTGAAAAACAAAAAACAGAAAATTGAATTGGTTATCAAACAATTCTATTTTTGAAAAACTAAAAACGAAATAGTTATCAAATGGACCCTAAATATTGACCCTAAATATTTTAGATTTTATGATCAACAATCAATAAATAAAAAATCAAACACTGACCCAAATAAATTCTCAGTCTTCATTATTATGAAAAAAGCTGAACATATTTCTTTCTAACCAAATGACCCAACAAAGAATTGAAACCGTGAATTTCTAAAAAGCCTTCAAACTTCTGTCATTAACCCTCCAAAAATATCTCAACTAATAACACATCTCGGAAATAGAAATACAAATAGAATTTTAAGCTGGGAGAAACATTCAATCCATTACTTAATGGTCAAACCACCATAAAGAAAGAGAAGAATAACCAATTCATATGCCCTACAATAAAAAAAACGCCAATAGAGTAAAATAGACCAAAAGGTATTCTCTTCTGAAATAAATCACAAGTATTTAATCTTTCCTAAATAAAAGGCCAAAAAATAAATAAATAAATAAAAGACTGAAAGGAAAATCTCTAAAACGAAAAGTTCATTGAGGTTCAAAGAAGAAAGTTTAACACCATGAATAGAACACAAACGAGAGATGAAGATTAAAGAAGACTTCAAACCATTTAAGTTTCCTATTAAGAAGAAACAAATCCCAAGAAACATGCTGAAAATTGAATAAAGATTTGGCCAAACAATTAAAAGGATTTTGAAAAGAAGATACACATTAAACATCTCCCCCGGAAAGAAAACTCATAACCTAAAACAAATTTTACAAAAGAAGACAGATAACTAAAACCCTGAGATATGAATTTATGGACATAAATGAGAACCAATCCGAGTAATATTACACCACCAACCGTCTGAATCACTGCTGCAAACCCTCCCTCTACTCAATGGATAGTGCTTATCCTCTCTCAACCATAATTGCTAAAACCACAAGTAGCTAAATCCACCGAGAGAGAATAAGTCCTTTTGAAATTTTCAATCTCCTCCAATAAATCTTGAATCTTCTCCTTGTTGTGGGCTAAGTAGGAGGTATCATCAACAAGTCAGAGATGACTTATGTGGAAAACCACTCTCCCAACTTTGAAACCTTCCATGAAACCAAACTCCTATAAAGGATCCTAGCTAAGCAATCAACTAACAAAAGAAAGATACATGGGAACAAGGGATCGCCCTAGCATAAACCCCAAGAAGCCCAACTTTTGATTATCAGTTTGCTCTTTAAAATCCTAGATAAAAAATGTGTGCCACAGAGGTGCCCTCAACTCCTCCACCTATATCCAATGCCTTCATCCTTTGAAAAATACAACATGAAGAAAGCTCCAATCTACATTGTCTTCGGCTTTTACTGAGCTTTATACAATCCTCCTTTACTCTTGTTCTCAAATTGTCAGTCACCTTATTAGCGATTAGGATCAAATCAATAAATCATCTCCTTCAATAAAAGCAGATTGATTGAGAGTATGGTAGAACACTTCCACTGACAAACTTTTGCAATGTCTTCAATCACTTTCCAAACTTCCTCTTCAGTGAACAGTTATTCCAAACTCTTTTCTTCACAGTATGAGATCGGATCCTAAGAAAGGCCCCATGAGCTCCTTGAAGGAATCCACAAATCCCTCCTCTTAACTTCATCATTAACAGATAAAAAGGCTTCTTCTATCCACTTATGAAACTTAGTTTCTTCTTCTACATGGCAGCAGTCTATGGAAGAAAGCTTAGTTCTTATCACCCACTATTAACCATCTAACTTTGCATACGTGTCTCCAAAATGATTCCATACAATCAAAATATACTGGCAGAAATTATAAGAGAACATCAATCGAAGTGTTTTACAGCATGCCATACATTGATAGATTCTCATTCACATAAGGAAAACAAAACCAAAAATACGATCAAGAGACTATAATTCAGTAATCGCCCTTTCAACCAATTATATTCATTTCTAAATTATAATCATTAAGGTATGCATTATGAAAGCTAAGCATTATGAAGATTCCTCCACAACATGCAAAAGCATAGCCAAACAGTTCGCTTACAAGATCCCAGAAAAGATAGATACAACAAATTACAGAAAAATTGCATAAAACAAATAATAGCGAGCAGACGATTGAGCATGTGAAAACCCCAACAAACCCTAATGCCCCTCCACTGAAATTAACGCCATAGCCACACTCCCCCAATCCACTAAAGGAAAGCGATGGTTGGGGATGAAAGAAAAAAAGAGATACCTGATAACTTCGTTATCTCTCTCGACTTCGCTGACTTCGGCGAAGAAGCTCTTGAGGAGCAAGTCCTCCTCGGGCGTGGAGGTGGTCTTGTTGGCCTCACCCATAAACGGCTTCGTCCTGTTTCAGTTTGTACTTGAATCGGAAAGCGAAATTGCTCCCTTTTCCGGCAGGATTCTGAGGGTATCCGATCAAACTCAGGCAAGGCACAGTACCAGAGAAGCTGTATGGATGATGATGAAGGGGGAAGGGATGGATTGTGAAAATGCAATCAACCCAATTCGGGGGAATTTAGGTTGGGTTAGATTTAGAAGGTTTTAGGATCAACCTTTTTTCTTTCTTTTTAATCTTTATACGGGAAATTTGAATATATTACCCCTTCCATAATTGATTTTAGATTTATAACTCTTTTTTTTTTTAAATCTAACTTGTGATCCTACCTCTTTTTATGTTGACTTCTTCAAATTTTTATTTTAAAAAAAAGACGAATTTACCCTCTAGATTAATAAATATATATTCATGATACATTAAATTTTCACCTACTTATCCACCAAATTCTAAACTCATGTTTCATATGGTTTGAACTCTAAAACAAACAATTTTTTATTTTTTAAATCCTCTCAAACAAATATTGTTGTCCACGTATTTGATCATATTATCTACACACTATCCAAAATTATTGTCTCCACATTTTCACATTTGAAAAGTTAGGTACATTAAACTTTCAAAATTTTGACTTTAAATTTGTTGAAATGATTTGAAATAATTCTCCATCAATATATTTTGCTGGAATGAAGTTCTTGGAAAGAAAAAAACATGGTTCAAATTGTTGTCTCGGATCAATACTCGATTCGGGATTGAAGTTATATTGCACTGAGATTGAATAATTTTATCATGCATTCAATCTCGGTGCAATTTGGTTCGAGACATGATCCGAGACACATCCCGGACTGATCTCGAACCAAGATTGGTCCGAGACACTTCCCAGACTAATCCCGGACCAAGATTGGTCCGGGACAGTCTGGGATGAAGCAAAATTTTTATTTTATTTTGTTAACTCTTTTCTTATCTCATGTAGTTTTATTCGATTTGCTGGATTGAGTTCGGGATTGAGTCTGGGATTGAATATGGGATTGAGTACGGGATTGAATCTGGGATTGAGTCCGGGATTGAATCCGGGATCGAATTTGGAAAACGATTATTCTATTTTCGATATCTGGAGCCCTACAATCTACCGTAAAACAAATTGGCTGCTTCAGATAGCGCCGAAAATGGAAACCTAAAATTAAGTAACGAAAATTTTTGAAGATTCGAGCCAATAACCTCATTTCCTCCGAGATCCAAGACAACGATGATGTTGGTTGGTGATGGTGGATGCAAAACGTTGGAACAGATGAAATAGAATGTTCATTGTGGATGGATGAGACGAAGAGTCCGAGAATAGGGAGGGAACGGAGGGAGACAAATGGTTCGAGTATATAGGTTTAGAGTTTTACTTTTGGGAATGTAGGGAGAGGAAGGGTCCGAGAATGAGGATGAGAAGATGTGGAATTTGAAACATGAGGGTAATAGAGTAATTTCACTTCTACAAATTTTAAGAGGAGTCATATGACTGGGTTCACAAATTAAGTTTTTTCAAAAGGGGGTCATAACTCCAATTTCAATTATGGGTGGGATCATATATTCAAATTTCCCACAATATATGACCAAAAAACAAAGAAAAAGAAAAACAAACGTCCACCTGTTAAGATATATATGTCGATTAAAAGAGCATGAGTTTGAATCCTAACTTTCATAGATTTTTGCATTAAGAAGAAAATTAAAAAAAAAAGTTCAATTAAACATTCTAAATTTCCAATTATTGAAATGAAAAGAAGAAAAAAAGAAATATTTGTACATTTAACTTCCATTTATTTTATTTCACAAAGGTTCATTTTAATCTCTATACTTTCAATATGTTCTATTCGTTTGAGTTATTATACTTACGAAAGGTTCATTTTGCTTTTTTACTTCTCAAAAAGTCATTTTGGTCTGTTCGATTTCATTTTTATCTCATTTATTTCGATCATAGTTTTTACCACGATAGTTTATTTGCTAATTTCTTGAAATGTAGTCATAAATTTACATTAAAAATTTCCATTAGGTCTTAAATTTATCTTAAAATTTTGCAAATAGGGACTAGAGTGATCACTTTTTAAAATGGACCAAAATAGATGTTTTGAAAGTATAAGAACTAAATGTACAAAATCTGAAAGTATAGAAACCAAAATAAACCTTTTGAAAGTACAGTGACCAAAACAAACCAAAGTCAAAAGTATATGTACTAAAATAGTATTTAAACTTATATTCTATGAGTAATATGAGTTTATCCCTTATAAACTATGTATCATTAATAGACGTCTAGCGATAGACTCATATCAATGATATAGTATATTATTGATAGACTGGTACAATTGATAGAGACTATCAATGATCTAAGGATAAAGAGGAAATTACATAAAACTGTGTAAATAAGTGCGCAAACCTTTTTTAAATTGTCATATTTACAAAATCATAATCATGTTGCTATATTTACAAATATAGACAACGTGCACCACTAGAAATTTATTAATCTTTTTGGATCAATCTAATTTTCTTTTAAATGTTGTATACAAGGGCAAAATATAAAAAATAGTCCATAATGTTTTTTTCTTCTTTGGGCAATTCTTAATCTTGTTCTTCATCTTTCAAAAATTAGCAGTTTTATCACGATAATTTCTCAATCAAGTTATTTTCTAAAAAAAGTTGTGACCACCAATTTAATGATCATTAAGGGTCCGTTTGATAACTATTTCGTTTTTTATTTTTGGTTTTTGGTTTTTAGTTCTTAAAAAACAGGTTGTTTGATAACCCATTCAATTTTCTGTTTTTTTTTTAAAAAACCATTTTGAAATTCTATGTAAATTAAAAAAAAAAATTTCAAAAACAGGTTTTTGTTTTTCAAAATCTCATTTATTCTCCTAATACTCAACTTTTTTTTTCTTTCTCATATTTATCTTTAAAAAATTTATTTTTCATTCTAAATTTTTTTTATTTCTAAATTTCTCTCTCCAAACTTTATTTTTATCTCTATAAAATTTTCATATTTTGAATATTTATTGTTATTGGTCTCTTTCCATAATTTTCTGTATTTTTATTTTTTTTTCTAACAGATGAGTTTCATTTCTCTCTCTAAAAATTTAATATTTTTCCTAACTTTTTTCTCTCGAAAATTTCATATTTTATAACTTTTATGTCTCCGTAATCTATTTTTTCTTCTAAAAATTATATTTTATTTTCTCGTTCAATTTTCTTTCACTGTAACTTTTATTTATATTTGTATTTATTTATTTTATATAAAAATTATATTTTGAATCTTGTTTTTATCTCTAAATTTATTCCACTATAATTTTTATTTTTCTTTATAATTTCTTTTTTTTTCTTTAACATATCTTTTACTCTCCACTTTATTTTTTTCTCCAAAATTTTTCTCTTTTTGTCTTTAACTTGTCTTTCACTATTTTTTTTCTAAATATTTTTATTTATCTCTCTAAAATTTATCTTCTAAAAGTTTATTTACATCCCTATTTTCATGTCTCTACATTAGGGGAAGATAAAAATTTCCGTAGGTTCGGTTCCCAAAAATATAAAATGCACGTCCCGACCCCGTCCCCGATTTCAGTTTTTAAATAATTAATATATATTACACTTTTTTATATTTAAATTCTAAAAATAATTAAAAACATTTATAAAACCGATAATCTTTCTCGAGGACATCTCTCGGAACCAAGAACGAGGTGGAGACGGAGACTAAAAATTTTCACGAGTCCGAGAATGGGGGAGAGCATACTCACTCGCATCCACACCATCTCTATTCTACATAAAATTTTCTCTCTCTAATATATATTTTCAATTCTCTAATATATATTTTAATAAAAACTAAAATGGTTATCAAACGAGCCCTAAATTATTATTTATTAGCATTTATTTAGTATATTTGAACACACGAAGATTATGATATTTGATACATGAAATATCATAATCGTTCAAATATACTAATAAACTGTCGATCAACAAAATTCATTTTTTCTCAAGTGACGCATCTAAGTGACATGTTCATATGTCTACAAATGGTAATAAAATAATAATTTAAAAGTCATGTTTTTTGTCCGTTAGTTTCTAGTTGAGATTTTTGAAAATATTAAGGGTAAACTTGTAAATTTTAAAAGATTAAAGATCAAGAGGGGAGAATTACCATAAAAAAAAATATCAAAACCTACCATTTATAACAGAAACAAACTTTAGTATAAAAATTAATTAATAACATTTCACCCACATTAGAATAAAAATAATATAAATTAATTTGAATGGTCAAATCAACATTTTAGTTCGAATCGCCAAAACGAGCATAGCTCAGCGGTAATTGGCATATACCTCTAACTATGAGATTGTGAGTTCTTTACCTGCTTTAACCTTTTGTCTTGTATTTTTTTTTTGATCAATTAGAAATCAGTAGGTATTGACATGCATGAGAAAACTTGATACTTACTAAAAATGAGAAAGAAAACTTGAAAGGAACGTCAATGTGAACGTCAATGGTGATTTTCGAAGTTACTGTGAATGAGAAATCAATTAGAAATTATAGGTAAATAGAAACTTAGGGTTTTTCTGTATATCAATAATATATCGGTAATATATCAAGTATACATCGTACATATATCAATAGTACAATTAAGTTTTATTTAAAGTTTTAAATATCAAAACGAAATCAGCAACAATGTCATTCTTAAAAAGTTTAAACATCATTCTTGGGTATCAACATCAACATCAAATCAACAACAAAGTCCTTCAATAAAAAACTTAAAGGTTTAAACATCAAAACGAACCGGTAGCATAAACCAAAAATAGACTAACAATGTCATTTTTAAAATTCTATAAATGAAGAAGCATAAGTTCCAATAGTCTAGAAAAGCGTAAGTTTCATTCTTGTATAATCTTTAGGTAAAAGCTTGGGACATCAATCTTCGTAAAAAGTAAATCAATTTCATATTATATGTATATCAAACATATATCACATACATATCAAGAGTATATCTGTCAATCATAGTTATATCATAAGTAAATCAATAGTATATCAGAAGTCAATCAGTTCTATATCACCTATGGTAGAAGTAAATCAATTTCATATCATATGTATATGAAATATATATCACATATATATCAGGAGTATATCTGTTAATCATAGTTATATCATAAGTAAATCAATAGTATATTAGAAGTCAATCAATTCTATGTCACCTATAGTAGTAGATATCATAGTTA